TTTGCCATCATGCTCTGAATTATCAATTTCGTTTTCGAAAAATTCACCTTTTACAACCGTTGCCCTGACAGGATACTCACTTCCCCAGTCATCTTTCACTCTCAACTCTAAAGTGTGACTGCACTCGGATATTTTCATTAAATAGTAGTCACTACCTCTATCTCCAGAGGCAATGGCTACAACTGAGTTGATGCAAATAAGATCCTAAACATGTTCTGGTGTCTCTTGTTGTGCTATAGYTCTAGTAACTCTTCGACCATGCTGTTCATTTTCCATTTCTTTTGACTCCCAGTGAGGAACATAATCCTTGTGGAGGCAATCAGAATAATCACCATTCAAGCAATGATAGCAGTAGCACGATAGTTGACGTGTAGAGATTTTCAATTCCTCTTCAGTAGATTTTACACTATGAATACTTCTAATCTCTTTGACTTCTTTGAATAAACGATCACTGCGATCATGTGATTGACTTTCGACATAAAAGAAAACGCGTCTTTTTAGCCTGACATTGTGAGATTGATACCGACTTGGTGATGGTTCCTTTAAATTGTTTTCAGCGAAGTTGAATAGATCTCGAGCGTTTTGTATGACCACTTCACGCCTTATTACTGCCATATCWYATTTGTGTTTAAGATTAGCTCCGGCTCCGTCTTGTGGCCCTTTAGCGTGAGATGTTTCAAAATAATTCCTTATAGTTGAGAAACCGAAATCCTTAACAGACATGGACAAATCACCGAGGCAGTGACGACTCTTGTATTGTGCAGCACATCCGTCTGTCCATTCGTKYRTGGTTTCAACAGCACATCCTATGTCCTTCAAATACTGCGAGATTTGATCTCTGCAATTGTGAACTGAGTGTGAGTCATGTTTTGTATCTGGTGAGATTACATATAAATGTTCAGTTATGACTGCAGGATCATCAGGAGTACTTTCTTCTCCATCAATTTCCCTAATAGCGTGACGGTGCATTACTGTTACGTGGATGGACACCTGGACTTCTCCGTAATACAGTGACTGAATTTGGTCCTGATGCTGACAGCTGTAATTTTCTGAGTAGTCATGAATACAACAAACGTGACCTAAGGGTAAATTGTCTATCAATTTCTTTAACTCAGCGTTCTGCCAATTTGCTCTGAACTGGTGGGCTGGATAGCTTTCCATTAGGTGAATAAAGTACTCAAACATTTCGCCAGGTGAAGTTTCCTAACTAATCAATTGAAGCTTTTTTTAATCTCCAACGTCAACGTATTCGAATCGCTCCCATTGAACTTTACTATTGGTATTTTTGCAATTTTCTTCGGCAAAAGGAAAAAGTTCTTTGTTCCGCAATGGTTGCATGTCCTTGAGAGACAGTGATTATCATGGTATTTGTTTTCTTCCTTTCGGTCACACAAAGTTGAGTCAACAAGATCAGTCGAGTGTGAATAGATTGGTGCATCATCACTTCTTCGTAGTGTATGTCGATATCTCATGCAGGTCTTGAACAACATTTGAGTTTCAACATGAGTCCTGCAGCAGCAGGAATTGCGGTCTTTTGGACGAGCGGGAACAACGTAGAAAGGCTTGCAGTTTTCAAAGTACCTTTGGCCTATTTCAATGTTGGGATACATTTGCTTGAATGCTAAGTAAACCTCCGTTTGTGTTTTTTCTAGAATTTGTTTTTCGTGTTCTATATACTGACGTGGGCCAACTTGCAGTCTTGATATATCTCTTTTATTCCCAGTTGGTCGAGAGATACCTTTATCGCTCCAAAAGTTAARTGCGAGTTTTCGTTGTTCTTCAGGGACGGCATCATTTCTTGTTTTTCTGGTAAGGTACGTCCAGTTTGAGGTAGTCTCCTTTGACAACACATTCAAGCGATGCTGCGCACTCATGGCTATTCTTSTTCTGGTTATACCAAGTTCCTTAGAGAGGCGAGTTTGCAGTCCACTTTGACTTCCGCAAAGCATTGAAATGCCAACATTTACTGCTACTCTAGCATCAGAGTTCCTTTTGTGTTTGATGGTGGTAATTGCTTCTCTTACATTGTTGATGGCTGAAG